GACCCAGCTAGTGCTCTGCCCAACCCAGCCCTTTGGTTCTATTTGCATAGGATGAAGACCAGATGCTTCTATGGAGCATAAAAGGGAGAGAGGACCTGGAGGTGTTCTGGCAATAGCTTAGAACAGGGGTCAGCAACCTTTTCCAGCCGTGGGCCAGTCCACCGTCCTTCAGACCCTGTGGTGGGCGAGACTATATTTTGAAAAAAAATATGAATTCCTACGCCCCACAAATAACCCAGAGATGCATTTTTAAATAAAAGGACACATTCTACTCATGTAAAAACACGCTGATTCCCGGGACCGTCTGCAGAGATTGGGCCGAATCTGGCCCACGGGCCTTAGGTTGCCTACCCCTGGCTTAGAAAAAGCCTCCACTGCTGATGCTGGATGCCAGACACTGGTCTGGGAGCCCTGAAGGTAATTTCTAAGTTGGGACAATAGCCAAGCCTCCCCAAACCTGGTGCCTTCCAAATAGACTACAACTCCCAGCAGCCCCAGCATCATACGGTTATGCTGGCGGAGGCTAAAGGGAATTGTAGTCCCAAAAAACTGTAGGGCGCCAGGTTGGAGATGGCTAGATGAGCTTTAGCTGAGGAAGCCACTTTTCTTTCCAAGTCAGTTCTGGGACAAGGGCAGAAGCTGAGGGACTGTTTGTTCCAAGCTCCCCCACCCCAAAAGATAACAGCCCATAACTAACCCTTTGCTCCCAGGAGAACGCTAAGCTTGACTCATATCCACTCATCAAGAGAGAAAGGAAAGCTGCATTTGACTCAGCAAAAGCCAAAGCAGCTGTTCAATCTGGTACCAGTAGGGCTAGGAGAGCAGAGCTGGGACACTGGTGGGTCAGGCTCCAACCTCACAGCACTTTTTGGCACAAGAAGACAAAGCCCCTTCTCACAATCTCCTGCAGTCGCAGTTAGAGCATCCCTCCCACTTCAACCAGGCTTTATCCAACCATGTAAACACTGGTAGGCCAACCAACTTCCTCATTGCAGTCACACCCTTCTTTTCCGAAATGGATTCTCAAATTTGGGATTGCCACAAGGTTAGAAACTCTTGCCAGGTTTTTAGCTGTCCGGTCCCTCCTACATCCGGAGGTATTTTTAAATAGCTCTCAGGAGCTTCAAGTGTCATTTAAGGGTGACACAAAATTCCTGGCCAAAGCAGTATCTATATGCTTCCTTTTTGGGAGGCAAAACCCGCTGAGAATCTCTGCCCCACAGGCTGAATGTGGCCCTCCATGTCTCTAGGTGGCCCTCAGGATTCTTCCCAGGTCATGTCCCCGCACTAGTACTGCTCTGTGCCCTTAAGAGCCTTTGCCTGGCTGGAATCTGGACCTCAGGCTCCAAAAACTAAGCACTATCAGTGCTGGAAAGCAATGCAGATCCTTTTCATCTGGCTGGATGCTGGTAGAGCTTGTGGGTTACAACCAGAAAGTAATTATATGTTTGTGGCCTTGGCTATAGCTCAGGCATAGGCAAAATTGGCCCTCGAGATGTTTTGGGACTACAACTCCCATCATCCCTAGCTAACAGGACCAGTGGTCAGGGATGATGGGAACTGTAGTCTCAAAACATCTGGAAGGCTGAGTTTGCCTATGCCTGCTATAGCTGGTCCACTCGCCTCAGCCTATAGGATCTCTTTCTCAGTCTCTTTCAGCCATTTGGCAGCATCAACATAGACAGATTTTGCATGTCATGATTTTGGGTAAGGTTTAAGATTTTCCTTTCTTCCTCCAATTTAATTTTAGCCTAGAAGTTGTCAATTCTAATGAGGCTAAAGATAAGCAACAAGGAAAAGTCTCTGCTTGGAGAAGCCTTCTGAACATTTCCCGCAAAATTCTGCTTTTGCATATTCTAGGGAAACACAAAGCATGGGGTATATCTGGAAGAAACACAGCTTGTTCCAAACCTACACACCTTTCAGCTGTGAAAATGGAAATGTCAGAAACACAGAAGTAGGAACACAGAAGCAGCTGAGGCCCAGGACCAGCACCATAAATGGATGGTGATGAGGCCCAGCAGAGCTTTGAACTGGGACCAGAGCTCTAATCTGCTTTCAGCCTCATCAGAAGCCATGTTTACTATGGAGCATTGGAGCTGTAAACCAGAATACAAACCTTGGTTTCAGTTAGTGGTTTCTCTGGAGAGAGCTAAACCACAAGCCCAGGTTCAGATGACACTGAAGTCAAACTGCTGCTCATCTTAGCACAGCCGCAGACAGACAGAAGCAAAATGATCGTAGGCTCCGCTCTGAAAGCCCACGCTTTGTTCATTTGCACTAAGCCATGCTTTGACACAGTGTTATGTACAAACAGGATCAGTGAGGTCCCTTCTATACATTTAAAACAATATTATACCATTTTAAGCAGTCATAGCTTCCTCCAGAGGATCCTGGAAACTGTAGCTTGTCAAGAGCGTTGAGAGTTTGTAGGAGACCCCTATTCTCCTCACAGAACTAGGGTTGTCAAAAGTTGCCTGAGAAGAGGGATTGTTAAGCCACGCTGGGAACCACAAAAACAACCACATAGAACAAGTAGCAAAGCAAAATATCAAGAAATCAGAAATTTAGGCAACCCAGCAGTAATCAGTTAAAACCATAAGCCTGAGAGAAAAACTGATGTGTTTTAATCTGGTGCTTAACAATAGATAGCGTAGGGGCAGCTGGATGTATATGGGGAAGGAATTTCACATCTGCTGTCCCACAACACAGAAGGCCCTGCTCCTCTAAAGGGACACATGTGGCCTGCTCACCTCCTTCACAAACCTGCAACATAGGTTAGGCTGAGGTCACCCATGGAGCTTCAGGCATGAGAGGGAATTTAAAACTGGCTTTGCTCAGCCCAGGATGGACACCCAATCCCAGTGACATTTGCTAACCATCCCACACTAGTACACGTACTGTATATTCTGACCTCCATTGTGTGGTCTGAGGTCCCAGTCACAGGCCAAACAAAAGGTGCAGATGTACAAGGGCTGGATACAAGAAGTAAAACACAGACCCTCCTCCACCGCTGAGAACCGTAGCTTGGGAGCAACACTCTCCTCCCACCAGTTTTTCCTTAACGAAGGGCACTTAAAAACACGACTGTTTACACTGGCACAGAAGGTGGCAGCAGCACTTCCCACTGACTGGCACAGTCAGTCATCTGCAAACCTTCTCCCCCTCCACTTCACATTTCCAAAATACACATTCCAAGTGACAGAATCACACCCCGGCATAAGCAGGGAGCCTGTGCTGTCATTTCTTCTTAACCACTAAGGCAGCATAATGATTAAAGACACTTTAAAAATATCCCCAAGTTTTCGTAACTGTATGCACTCAATTGGCTTCCCCAAGAGCTCCCCCCCCGAAAGAACTTATCCTGAGGTTAAATTAACTGTACTATCACATCAAAAAAGCACGTAAATGACAGCCTGTCTACAGGTCCGACAAACCAGGCAGCTAAAATGGTTATGGACAGGCATTCTCAACTGATGCTGCTTTCCAGACAAGCCTCTTGCAGAGTTTGACTATACTGCTTGCCAGCTGGAAGTCCACCATCTCTTCCCTTCAGGTTTTAAAAGCCTAGTTGCCCTGCATTCCTATGAAATCCAACCATTACTGCGCACTCACATTTCCTTCACACTGCCTTCCTAGAGTTAGCACACAGGCAAATTAATGGAGCAGATATTGCCAAGTATCACAAAAAAGCCGCAACACTTGAAGAAATGACCAGTTGCCAATTCAGTAAAAGTGACTTTTAAAATGTTTTCAATTGCTGCTCTGCACTGAAAACTTTCATGTAACTATAGGCTGACTCTGATAAACTAGCATAAAAATCCTTTTGACAAATAATTCATGTTTATAGAAAACTTACACCGTTAAAGTTAAAATAATCCACTACAATTTCTTTTAAAAGTTAAATCACCATTTGCTAATTTGCTTTTGTAATTAAGCATCAGACTGGTTCTATTGCTTTTGTTCTATTAAAGTTATGCTTTAGAAATACTTGATGCATATTCGACTAGTTAACTGCCCAGCCTTAATCATTATGAACTGTTAACTTCCATGACGCTGCTGCCTTCCATGCTTCAGTTTCCAGTGACTGACCTCTTGGGCCACACTAATCCAAAAGTTTTCCAATAGTGCGTCATGTGCTAGTGTCAAGGGCAAAAAAAGGAAAGTGGGGACGAGTAGACCAGGGTTTTGCTATTTTATTTTAGCTCCTAACCAGAGTGTCAGACAACCCCCAGGACCACACACAGTGCTCCAGCCTTTGCAAAGCAGCTCCACCCTTACTGGTTATGACTCCTGCAGAACCAGACCTGCAAACTCTTTCCACGCCTAGGGACCAAGTCTGGGCTCATGAATATAAAAGCGAGAGTCAACGGATCAGTCCAAACAAGCCCATCCCACACTGAGAAAACACCTGCTTACACCAAGGGGCTTGCCAACGGAGAGAGTTGGATCATTTTGATGTCGGGACCAAGACAGATGCACCTAGGGACAATGTTCAGGGCAAGGAGTTGAGGCGTGGAAAGCAACATTGCCTGGGCAAAGTTACCCACAAAGGGCCAGACTTGGAGAGTAGAGCACACCGTGGAACTTGCGTGAGGGAAGAGAGAGCAGTGCAGGAATCGATTCTGGACAAGCTCCCAAGGAAGGATAGAAAATCTTTACTCCCAGGAAGTCAGCTGTTCCCATCCACACCAAGTCTCAGACCCCACCTTTTAAAATGCTTGCTCCCTACCCCTTCAACCAACTTAAAGAGTTCAGAATTGTGCCCATTTTGTGCTCCCAACAACCCTGCGAGGTAGGCGCCAAATTTAAGCGAAAGCCCAGGTACTTCCCCAAGCGAGCTTCGAGGGCTCACTAACCACCCGCCCCCCGCCTTGTTTATTTTGGGTCCCATCCCCGGCCTCGAGGAACAGGAAGCAGCGGGCGGCACCAAAAGCAGCGGCAGCGGCGCCGCCCCCTGAGCGCGTGCAGAGCGCATCCCACCAGAATCCCTCGCCTACCTTCCAGGAGGACCTCCCTGCCGGCCCGCTTGAGCGCCTGCACGGCCTGATCGTGGGTGGCGTCGCGGAGGTCGGTGCCGTTGACGGAGAGAATGGCGTCTCCCAGGCGGAGGGCGCCGCAGCGCTCGGCGGCCAGCCCCGGGAAGATGCGCGAGATGAGGACGGGCATGCGGTTCTCGCGGCCGCCCTTGATGCTAATGCCCAGCCCGCCCGCCTCTGCCTTCACTACTCGCACCCGGCGCACCCCGCTCGGAGGGGAGCCCGGGGGCGACGAGGAGGAGCAGGACGCGCCACCGGGCAGCCCCGGCGGAGGGGAGAAGGGCCGGCCGGGAGGCGAGGAAGGCGGGTGGACAGACGCCGAGGGGGGCATCTCCGGGCTGCCGCTGCCCGCTGCGCTCCGCCCGCCTGGGCTGCCCGCGGGGCTCCGCGCTCGGGATGCTGATGCTGCTGCTGCTGCAGCCGCGACGGGGCTCCCCCACTCGGCGCCGTTGGGCAGCCCGTTGACGGGCTCCGGGTCGGAGCTGAGCACCAGCGCCTCCCCGCTCAGCTCGGCAAGCGCCCGCACCCAGCGCTCGCGCACCAGCACCTCCACCAGCCCCGCCTTGCAGGCGCGCGTCCACACTGCCATGGCCGGACCGGAGTCGCGCCGGACTCACGCCGGAACAGCAGCGGCTGGAAGAGCCGCAAACTCCAGCAGTGAGGCTGAGGAGGAGAATGGGCCGCGCGCGCCCGCCGCCCGCCCCCTATAAGGAGGCGGATTGGGAACCCCGGGAGACCCCGCCTCTCCCCGCCCAAAGGGGCGAGGCCGGACGGCGTGAGCGCGGCTGCGGCAAAGCGGATTTGGTGGGAGCGGGAGGCGGAGCTCCGCCCCCCCTCCACACACCATAGAGATAAATAAAAAGTTAGAGGGACGACATCCCTGATGGGGATAGGGGAATATCGGGGTTCGCATTTAGAGAAGAGACTTTTTAAAAGTTCAGTTAAAAATTAAGGACGAAATCCAGCAGCTCGACAAAACAACAGCAGCAGCAAAACCATAATCTTTTAGTTTTAAAACATAAAAAGTCCTACCAGTGACATAGTCCTAAAGTAAGTACAGCTCTTTATTAATAGTGGCACCATGTATTAAAAACACCGCATTGTAGGTTGACGGAGGCATGTATCGGATACGACAGCCCCGCAGTGTAGTCTAGAGAAAATATTGCAGACTAGAGGTGAAGGTGAGTTGAGGTTGGTTCGGATTTTTGGCCATAACTTTCCATTGCTGGGGGACTCCTTGATTTGCTGCTCCTGGGCTAAAGTCCTGGTTTTCTGCACGGCTCTCACTTCAGACCCTGGGGGGGAAAGAAACTTCCCAAAAGTTCCGGAAGCGAAGACCTGTGTTTCCTTCTACCTCGAACTCTAAGCCGGTTTTTCAGTCACGGAGAAATAGAGGGCGTGGCCCAGACCCAAACTCCAAGGAGAGTGACGTCGGGTGGCTGCGCCCGCGTGGCGCTTGGGGGGGGGAGTAGGGAGGATGCGGAGGAGTGAGTAGTTCGTCGACGACTGCTCTGGATTTAGTTACTCCGGATTAATACGAAGCTAATCCTGGCCATCCTGCGCAGGCGAGGAAAATATTTGTCTCACCTTCCATTCACTTTCCAATGCTCACTTTCAGGTGCAGTGAGTTTTTCTACTCCGTTGTTTTCCCGCGCGGGAAGCTGCTCCTCAGCGTCAGTGCATCTGCTTTGCATGCAGAAGGCTCCAGGTTCAGCCCCTGGAAACTCCTGTCCGGGCTGCAAAAGCCTTCTGTGCAGAAAAGAGCGCAGCTGGCTCCTGCATGGGCCAGCAATAACCAACATAGTTGGGCATTCCAAATGTGTTTGGACTACAAATCCCATCAGTCCCAAACTAAAGTCAGGAATGATGGGAGCTGCAGTCCAATTACATGTAGTGGGCACCACTTTGGTTACTCCTGGACTGTAGATAATGCTGTGAGATCATCTTACCCCATATATGCCCTCTCAATTGCTTTTACCTGCAAAACTGGCTCTATTACCCGTGCCGCATAATATCTGTTTTGCATTTGTAATAAATCAGTCTTTAGCGTGGCTGCACCTACACTTTGGAACTCCCTGCCTATTGACACCAGGCAGGCACCTTCACTGTACTTTTTTGGACCCCTGCTAAAAACATGTTTGTTTAGACAAGCCTACCCAGATGATGAGAAGCTGGTGTGTTTTTAGTTTATTGCTAGTTTTAATTTTTTTGAATGTTTTGATTGCTTTTACTAATAATCTTACTGTTTTATTCTTTCTGTAAACCTCATTGAGGTTTTCTACAATAAAGTGGTATATAAATTAAATGAAATAAAATAAATGCTGCACACTGCAGCTCATCGTTTAAGGGGAGCAGTGAATAAAAAAAAGGAATAAAGATACAGTACTAAAAAGTTGAAGTTCTTTCGTTTTAAAAAATAATGAGACTAGCAGGAGGACTTGAGAGCAATTTCATCAGAGAAGTTAAATTGCAAAAGAGAAAAAAAACCCTCAAAGAAAGGCTTCTGGCAACATCACCATGAAGAGGGAGCCAAAGGGTTAAGTCAGCAGCCTCTTTTCACTCAAGGGCAAAGCAGATCCCTCCAGGCACCCAGCCCCTAGCAAGGTGCCTGCCATGTCCTCTCACATGCCACTACAGCACATCCATTTGCAGATGTGTAATTCAACTGTCAACTTTACATTGCTATAGCTGCATTTAAGAAGTGCTAGATCACCAAGTAGGCAGATTAAGCCATGTTTAGAGCACCAGCAAAGCAGGGGCAACCCCTCCAAAATGAGTTAGTTTTAACGACATTTGATATTTCAAAAAAGCATTGAAGTAGAAATCACGGGGGAAATCAGAACTTTGTTAGGCTTCCTTACCCTCCACTGCATGCTCCTCTCCCATTTTTCTGTTCTCTCTTTACTACTTATTTCCAGGGGTGAATGGGGTGTTAGGAGAGGGGTAATACCTCTGGTGGGGGACATGTCATGCTCCTTCTGGGGTAGTTTGCCCACTTTTGGTCCCCACCTTGCACTCAGCTCTCACCTGTGGCTCCTAGAAGCTGTCAACATGTGACAGTGGCCACACCATGGGAACGGCTTCAACTCGCCAGGTAAACCAGGTGAGGGTAGCCAATGGGTCTCAAACCCTCAGTGAGTTAGGGACTTCCCCTGCGTGGAAAAACAGGCTCTTGTGGACTGAACAGATGAGACCAATAGTAGACACAATGGTCAAGAAGGCTGTTTCTGCATGTGCTGTAGAGGGGAGGGGCAGATGGGGCTCGTCAACCGGGAAGGTGGTCCATCAAGAGGGAAAACCCGGTGTCCAGTGCCCACCCACTGATCAAGGGTCCAATCAACAGGACTGGCCACTAACCATGAAAAGAATGTCCTGGAATCACAAAGAGGCTGTCTGAATTAAACAACTGGATCGAGCCTGCTGTGGTGGGGAGCTATTCCAGGTTAGAGACCACTACATTAAAAGCTCCACTGGAACACTAAGCTGGGCTGAAGTTTAGGCCAGCTTCCCACATCCTGGTGCCTTCAGATTTATGGGACTACAACTCCCATCAGCCCTAGCCAGTGGTAGACCCAAACATCTGGAGGGCACCAGGTTGGGGAAGCCTGGGCTGGGCGGCTCCCTCCAGGGACTGGTTAAAGCCCCCGTGGGAGCTGCTCCACATGTGCACAAGTCTTTTGTCAGGCTGTATTTCCTTCAGAGCAATTTCAACTTGCATCACCCCCGTTTCGCTTGAGGAAAAGGCAGCCTGGATTAGAAGAGGATTTTGCAAGCTTATTACACAGGCCCAATAAGGCAGGCCTGCAGCTAAGATTTCTAGCAGGTTGAGACAGACGGATTTGGTTCAACTGCAGCCCCAAGTGCTTGGCGTTAATTTGGCTGTAGGTTCCCACGAAGGGAGCGAAGCCCTCGCGTGGCCCAGAGTCCTTCTTGATGTCGAGGCTTTGCCGCTGATCCTTGGGCTGTGGAAGGCTATTTTTGACATGAGCAGACGTAATCAGCAGTGATCCCGGACTCCTGAGGACATCTCTGTTACGGAATAAACTCTTTGCGGCTCCAGCACCTTGGGGACAGGAAGGGATGTCTGTTGCAGGAATAGCCAAATCTTCTGCCTTGCCCGAGTTAAGCTAAGCGGCCTGCCTCCACCTGCTCCTTCGAGTCTGGGTGGAACAAACAGTGCCAGGTCTTAAGTCAGAACGCAACTTCGGCATGAGGCAGAGCTCTGTAGGGGGCCCGTGTTCAACTGTCGAATATGCATTCAATATTGGCACCTGCACCTGGAATATTTGAAGGAAGCAAATAACCCTGGACCTGCTGAGATAACAAGGCATGGCTTCCAAACAGTGTAAAAGCCACACAATGTCTCTTGTTAAGCAAAATAGCTATCTCAGTGAAGATTTAGACTTTACATTGTCTAGTCTGGGCTTAAGGCCCACCCTCTGCCACAGCATTGGGTAAGTTGTACTCTCAAAGCTTCAAGTCCCCCATCTATAAAATGGGAACAATACCAACTTGTTTCAAAAGGGAATTCATTGGAAGAGTCAAGCACAACAGACCACAAATGATTTTGCAAATTTGTTACAGGAGCTGCTCTAAAACACCTTTGTATTGGCCTCGTTTTTATTTATTAACTAGGCCTTCCTCCCATTATTTGAAAAAAACAAAACCGTATGGAATTGTCTTTATTTAAAGTAATAATTTCTGAATTGTATTGCTCTTGTGTTGAGAGAACAAACAATTCAGTATCTAATAAGGGTGGTTTGTTTTCTTCAAAATGGCCACTGGATTTAAAAACAAACAGGCTCAATCTATACAATAAATCTATACAACAATAACTACAGTGCCATGACTACAAGACCGTCATCTGACACCTAGAAAAGAACATGAAGGAAAACAGGCGAGGAAGGAAAGCTCACAGCTGGAAGAGAGACGGCACTCGAGTCAAGCCCATCTTCAGTCAGATTTATTTTGATCATTTCAATTACAGCGAAGGACACAGCAGGCTATCAGTCCAACAGCTTCATCCAGCAGCATAACGCTACTCTCTCCTCACCCCCACCCTGAAACTCAAATCCTTTCAGCCCTGTAGCCACTTCCTTCTCACCCCCTCTGGAAACTTAGGACCATCACCGCCCCCACTTCGGGAGAAACACAGACGTCAAGGTCAGGCAAAGCATTGTTCTTCTTCCTCACTGGCTGGACTCATGGTTTCTGCTTGATGGGGCTGAAACCAGTTTGCCTAGTCTGGGAGAGTACTAGAATTTGCTGCCACCATAGCCATTTGGAGGAGCAGAGACAGGCACATGGTAGACCGAGACTGGGGAGGACACCTGCAAGAACACTTGCTCTAATACATGCTCAGCCTGCGCAGCAGCCAAGAAATTGAGTGAAAAAAATTAGCAAGTCCCCCATTTCAAATCTTGCCACGGTGGTGCTAGGCTGGCCTCCTCTCTCTGTCTCGCCTTCAGCGATACTGACGCACCTTCCAAGGAGCATTGTGTAACGTGGTTGAAGCCCTTTGAACACTCAAAAGCCCTGTACAAATGCCAAGTACTCTTTTTTATTATTAAAAAGGGACAAACAAAGGCACCGGCAGACGAGTCTCTTCCATAGCAGCCTGGCCCCTTCTGCTGACTTCCACCCATTCAGGTTCAAAGCTACTTGTGGAGTCTTTGCTGGTATCTTGGAGGTTAATCATTGTCTGAGAAGAACATTCACCC